AAGTTCTTTAGACATGATATAAAATCAGTATGTTAGTTGAGGACACTGTCCTATAAGGACTATGGTTAAATATCTCTGATACTTGTACTATATGGAGCTAAACTATAGACATAAAAATACAGTCAGGTGATTTTATCAAAACTACCTCCCAGAGCTCATTATACTGAAAGTTAAATCACATCTCCATATATATAAATAATATGTAGTTTTTCCCTTTTCTTGATCTAGAAAATCTAGTCAACAAGTACTTCTTAACCATTCATTCAACAAAGGTCTCTACAATTACAAAGATAACACTTCTTTATGTGCCATGAAAGTTACAGATGATAAAAACAAGGTTCTTGTTCTTGAGGACCTGACAATTTCATGGGATGACAGATGTATTCGCAAATAAATTTAAAACAAGTATGCATATGATGTTGTAGGCCATGTGTCTAAGTGGACACTAATGGGTACAGATAAAAGGAATGTGCCCCAAATACAGGCAAAGCACAAGTTTCAAGGCCCAGAAACTGGACAGTAGGCCTGGGTGATATGGCTCACAGAGTAGCAAAAATTATTGCCTTATGTGTAGTATAAATTGTTTATGGATACTGAAGAGCCAAGGGTTACAAAAAGTATTGAGTCTACAGTTCCATGCTCTTCTAACCTGGAGGACAGCTTATTCCATGTGGGCTGCCAAGACCACTGAAATTCAGATGTGCCTTTGCCAGATACAAAGAAATCAGTGGGAGCTGCGTCCACCAACCTGCACCCTCTTCTGATTTATGTTCTCTGTGCAGTTTACTTGCTGCTTCAGGATTAAACAAAATAAAAGCAAGCCTGCAATGTGTGCAAATTGTCATTCTTGCCTATTGTCAGTATCTATGAATAGGCTGTTTGGCCTATGGGGACATAGTGCCATTTAAACATTACAAAGAGTGTTAAGAGTTCTGAGGAAGAAGAAACAATTCTGGCTAGAGGCTTCATGGAGGTGACTATTAAGCTAGATCTTGAAAACTGGATAAAAATTCTTCACGTGAAGATGGGAGAAACGGTATACAAGAATATGGGACAACGTGAGTGATGAAATAGAGGAAGTAGAGCAGAGCTGTGTATTGGAAATGAAGAGTAGTCCAGTTTGGCTGAAGAGCAGGACATGTAGGATGTTATATATAGAATTGTGTCCCCCCAAAATGTGTGTCAACTTGGCTAGACCATGATTCCCAGTATTGTGTGGTTGTCCCCCATTTTGTGATCTGATGTAATTATCCTATGTGTTGTAAATCCTAACCTCTATGATTTTACTGAGGTAGGATTAGAAGCAGTTATGTTAATGAGGCAGGACTCAATATACAAGATTAAGTTGTGTCTTACATCAATCTCTTTTCAGATATAAAAGACAGAAGTGAGCAGAGAGACATGGGGACCTCATATCACCAAGAAACTAGACCCAGGAGAATAGCGTGTCCTTTGAACCTGGGTTCCCTGCTCTGAGAAACTCCTAGACTCAGGGAAAAGATTGGTGACACAGACCTTCTCCCAGAGCTGACAAAGAAAGCCTCCCCTGGAGCTGGTGCCTTGAATTTGGACTTCTAGCTTCCTAGACTGTGAGAAAATAAATTTGTTTGTTAAAGCCATCCACTTGTGGTATTTCTGTTATAGCAGCACTAGGTAACTAAGACAGAATTTGGTACCTGGAGTAGGATGCTGCTCTAACAGATACCTATAATGTGGAAGTGTTTTGGAATTGAGTAGTGAGTAGAGGCTGGAAGAGTTTTAAGATGCCTAATAGTAAAAGCCTAGATTGCCTTGAAGAGACTATTGGTGGAATCATGGACATCAAAGCAATGCTGGTGAGGCCTCAGAAGGAAGTGAGGAGAGCTATAACACTAGAGACAGCACAGATGGTGAGAAGCAGCAGCAGAGAAACAGCAGCAGCAGAACCAGGAGATCAGTGTGAGATGAGCCAGGAGCCAAGCCATGGCGCAAGAGAGCTGAGTGCCTTTGGGCAGGAGGCTTCCGGGCAGAGTGGGGTGCTTCCAGGCACTTATCAGTAGTGCTAAAGGGCTTTGTGACACTTGCCCGAGCAAGCAGGGCAGAGGCCAGGCTGGCCCAAGGTCTCGAAGGGCTGAGAGGCCATGGAACCTGGAAACAGAAGCTGATAAGACAAGGACCACAGGAAGCAGAGCTGCCTCAGTCTCAAAGGGTAGGGCCAAAACCTCTGGGGTCTCAAAGGGTGGCACCACAGCCTTCTGGGTCTCAAAGGCTGGGGCCACAGCCTTCTAGGTTTCAAAGAGTCAGATCTTCACCAACTTGGTTTTGGAGCACGGGCTGCCTTTCATGAACGCCAGCAGGATGGGGCCGTACTGCTGCCCAAAGCTGAGGGGAAGGACTTCCATGCCCAAGGGGCAGAAGAACAGGGCCTGCTGTGCCCGAAGAAGTGAGGTCGCTACTCAGATGGACTAGGAGTATGGGGTCACCCAAAGCTGAGGGAGTAGAGTTCCCATTCCAGTGGTCCCGGAAGGCAAAGCTGAAGCCCAGGGCTGAGGGGCCTCCACTCAGAGTCTAGAAGGCAGGGCCACTGCCTAAATGGTCTCAGAGAACAGAGGATTATTTTCAAGACTTGAGAGCTAATGTAATGTGTTCTGCTAACTTGATTGATGCCCGTTATCCCTTCTTTCCCTCCAATTTCTCCCATTTGTAATGGAAATGTCTATCTTGTGCCTGTTCCACCATTGTACTTTGGAAGCAGATAACTTGTATTCTAGATTTCACAGATGAAAATGAATTTTGCCCCAGGATGGAATTTGTACTTGGAGTTGATTTAAGACTTGGGATGATATGATGGGGTGAATGTGTTTTATATTTAGCAAGGACATGAGTTTTGGGGGGCTAAAGGGTGGAATGTTATGGATTGAATTGGGGGCAAAAATGTGTGTCAACTTGACTAGGCCATGATTCCCAGTCTTGTGTGATTGTCTTCCATTTTGTGATCTGATGCAATTATCCTATATGTTGTACATTCTAACCTCTATGATATTAATGAGGCAGGGTTAGAGACAACTATGTTAATGGGGCAGGACACAATCTACAGGATTAGGTTATATCATAAGTCAGTCTCTTTTGAGATATAAAAGAGAGAACTAGCAGAGAGCAGAGGGACCTCATTACCGCCAAGCAAGAAGAGCCAAGAGTGGAAAGCATCCTTTGGACCCAGTGTCCCTGTGCTCAGAAACTCCTGGACCCAGGGAAAGTTTGATAACAAGGACCTTCCCCCAGAGCTGACAGAGAGAGAAACCATTCCCCTGGAGCTGGCACCCTCATTTGGACTTCTACCTTCCTAGACTGTGAAAAGATACATTTTGGTTTGTTAAAGCAATCTACTTGTGATATTTCTGTTATAGCAGCACTAGATAACTAAGACATAGAAGGAAGCAGTGAAAGATGAGAATGGAAAGGGAATCAGAGCCAGGCTAAGAGCCTTGACATCTAATATACAGATTATGGGAAACGCAGAATGTTTTTGAGCAACTATTAGAGCAAGTGGATTAGTAAAACAGGGGATGTACAGACAAATCAGACAGAACTATTAAGCGTGAAATGTAGGTAAAAAGACTACGAGATGGCTTAAAATGTCAAGACATAAACTGACGCCATGTGTGATTGAAGAGTAGATGAATTTGAGAGTTCTACTGTAAAACTGATGGGTTTGATGGCACTGAAGAGAGAGGGGAAACCCTGGTGGCATAGTGGCTAAGAGTTTGGCTGCTAACCAAAAGGTCGATAGTTTGAATCCACCGTGTACTCCTTGGAAACCCTTAAAGGGCAGTTCTACTCTGTCCTATAGGGTCTCTAAAGAGAGAGGAATCATTTATGAATTCAGACATACAGAAGGATGGTAATACTGTGAACACACATAGGAAGTCAGGAAAAGACACTGGTTCTAGGGAAAGCATATTTGTTTTCGAGACGTTGAGTTGAGGTGTTGCTGGGATGGATATCCAGGTGGAAGCGTGCTACAGGCAGTTGAAAATCAAGAGAACGGAGCTCAGGAGAGAGGTGCAGTGATTGATGAGTCACGTCCAGTGGGGTGAGTCAGTGAGTTTGGTCTGTCGTAGAGATAGTATCTGAACCTAATAACAGGCCCTAAATACCTGACAAATCTAACAAGGAAGACAGAGCACCGCGGGGGGTGGGGGAGGACCAAACCACAAACATTGTGATACGAGTATTTATAGCTCAGGTTTGTTTTACTAGCTGTTAATTTCTCAGAAACCAACCCTTAGCCCAAATTGACCTCCCACCTGGCAAGTAGAATTGTCAAAGGGCACACACAATTTAGCATAGAAATCTACGACACCGAATCGCCAGATATTTCTAGTCTAGAATATGAGAAATACACGAACTACTCAACTAAGTGGATTAAAGCACATTTTTGGGAGTTGGGGACATACAGCTCTCAATCACAGTCCAATTATAAAAATTCATGATCGATAAACGAATTTAACAACTACAACCATAGAAATGTTCCTAAGGAGGGGTATGCTGTGTCTGGGCTGAAGCCGCAGGGAACTAGTGGAAAGGTTACCGAGAAGAAGGCGAGCAGCTGAAGAAGGATGAGCAAAGCTGATTACGAAGGTTCCCGTAGGAAGCTGGATCACGTCATCGGGCATACCCGCCCCATTGCTCATCACCCTTGACCACCTCAGACAATTCAAGGCAGGGACCGCCCCCAAACGGGGGAGGAGTCATGAGAATGTAGGCCAGAGAGCAGAGAAGCCTTTTGGAAGCCGCTGGAGGCTGGCGCCCCGACGCTTACTACATTTCCCAGCATTCAGTGCGGCAACGAAGGCTTGCTCCCTGAGCGCTTATGGAAGTCTTGCGGCATGGGACTGGTAGTAGGGCCCCATGGGCTGCCCAAAGAGGGAGTCTGGTGGGGCAATCTATAGGGATTGGTTAGTGAGCGTTCGAGTCCCGCCTACATATGGTGACGACAGACGGCGGTCTTGGTACTTAAGGCGTCGTGGCCTCGCCTGCCCCGCCTTAGCTCCCGCGCTAGAGAGAAACATGTATCGTTTCCGATCACAGCTCTTCACGGAGATTTCTGCTGCCGCCACCGCCCACTCTCACCCCCGCCGCTTCTCGCCTCTGTTGTTAGTGGAAGACTCGCTTCTCAACCGCCTGCCGCACAGACGCACGAGTAAAAAGTGCAGCTCCATCGGCTGATCCTCGCTAAGTTCCGAGTTCAAGCGGCACCGGGCGTCCCACGATGCCGAAGAATAAGAAGCGGAACACTCCCCACCGCGGTGGCAGTGGTGGCGGCGGCACAGGGGCAGCCGCAGCGACGGCGGTGGCAGCAGGTAAGGGGATATCCTCGCCGCCGGCATCCCGGTTGCCGGCTGTGCTAGCGTTGGGCACATAGGAAGTTGTAGTTCTCTGTCTCCTTCGGACGTTTTGCGTCTCGAGGACGCGTAGCTTGCTGGGAACTACAGTTCCCAGCGCGCCCTGGGGGCCGTGCCTCGCGCGGTTTGGATATAGCTTGCGAACCCGACTCTAGGGCACCGGCGCGGGGGCAGGGAGGAAGCCACTGGGTCCTTGGACCCAGGAGTGTGTAGGGATCTGAGGTGGCGGGGAGCTGGGGTGGAGGGGAGAGGAACTGTCCTCAGAAGCCGGTGCGCGCTCTCCTGAGTTCTGATTGACGAAAGATGGGGCAAAGCTTGGAGTTGGCGTCCTTGCTGTCACTGGCCGTGTTTGACCCGCCGGCTCCAACATGGGGTTCGCGGAAATGCCACCCGTCCCGCGCGTTGGGGAACGTCTGGCCAGTTTGTACGGGCTCTAATGTCAAGCGGCCTGGGCCTTGCGCGGTGGGGCCGGTGTGACGCAGAGGTGCCCGGCATCCACATCCCGCTGCCTTCCTGCTTGTCCCGCGCGTCCACCTCGCGGGTCGGAGGCGTCAGAGGCCGGGGCTGCTGTCGCAGCCCACGCTCAGCTCTTATCCGTAACCAGCATCCCCCGAAGCCCCGAGCCACAGGCGCGACCTCCTGCTCTCCTTTGTGCTGCATCCTGTAGGTCCTGTGCAACGAGCCCCGGATAGGCAGGGGTAGTGAAGAGCTCAGGCTGCAACTGGATAAAAGTTTAGGGATTCTTTTGTTTTGTTTTCTCACAATAAAGCTCAGGCTTTTCCTGGATGGATAGGTGCTTAACTGGATTTATGGTCCTCGACTTATTAACCATATGGTTAAAAAGAAGAAAGAATTCCAAGCGGAAAGTTCTTCTACAGGACACTCCACCAAACTCAAAATCGAGTACTAACGTATACTAGGTAAAAATCATCCCATCTAGTAATTGGTCGAGTTTATGGATTTAAATAATGGAGTATCCGCAGGCATTACGACGTCATGCCACTCTGATCCTCAGAATGCTCTGCCTTTGTTCACTAGAAAGTACATAGGCCAGTTTTCTTGTTAAAGATGATTGGAAACTGGCATTTGAAAAGGTTTATAGCCTCCCTAAAACTTGTAATCATGAACTACACATGTAATAATTGACTGTAAGAATAGATTATTATTGCTTGGAGGTAGGAAAAAAGAAACGCAGATTTTTTCCTTTTTATATTGCTCTTGATTTCAACTGAATGCTCTTGATGTTCGTGAAGTTCATTATTCTTGATCGATACGTGAAACAAAGTTTGTTGCGGCATCTAGTTGCTATCTGTACTTCAGCTTTTCCTCATCTGAAGTAAATATTTGAATTCTATCTAGAAGATCCTTTTTAAATTTATTCTTAGAAGTTTAAATTGCTGAAATGGAAATAATAGAGAAGCAGCAAGCTAAAGTCATTTTGAAACACGTAATAATGTTACTAATGGCCACCTCGAATCATTAAAAAACAAACCCATTACCAGTCCATTTGATTCTGACTCATGGCAACCCCATATGTTAGAGTAGAATTGTTCTGTAGGACTTTCTTGGTTGTGATCTTTCCAGAAGCAGATTGCCAGGTCTTTCTCCCATCAAGCTACTGGATAGGTTTGAGCCACCAACCTTTTGGGTTAGCAGCTGAGCATTGCGCCATCAGGGCTCCTTTTTAGGTTAAAAGAGTGCAACCATTATTTCCTTCTGAAGCCTGCCTGACAGATCTTCCTTACTGCCTTTCAGATTTTACTTCAAGGCTCACTGGTGGCTTTTCATCAACCTTACTGCTGCCTTTTCCATTATTTTGTTTTCAGTAGAAAAGATACTTCTAAACACTGACTTTTAGCTTATAAAGAAAATGGAAAAGAATTCTTTGATTACCTTATAAAGCTATATATATAGTGAATATCCTTGGAAGTTTATATTAGAGCTGGCTAACTGACTCTGGTGAGTGGAACTGGGGAGAGGAATGGGGGTGAGATTTACTTTTTTGTAACTTTAGTTCCGTATAAATGTGTTACTTATTCAAGAAATAAAAAAAGACTTGAGATGGAAAATTATTACATACGAACTTGTGCTTACTTACAAGTCACTTTACTGTAATTGTAAATTACATAGAAGAAATGGGATTCAAAAGAGATCTTTCCACATGTACCACCAACTTTATCACTTTGATGAGTTTTCCATTAAAACTTTTTTTTTTTTTAAAGTTAATAGTGGGTAGTAGGAAGCTAATAAAATTCACCTCTTACGCAAGACAATGGAGCCCTGGTGGAACAATGGTTAAGCGGCTGCTAACCGAAAGGTTGGCTTTCGAATCTGCCAGGTGCTCCTTGGAAACCCTGTCGGGCAGTTCTGCTCTGTCCGATAGGGTCACTATGAGTCGGAATCAACTTGATGGCAATGGGTTTGTTTGTTTTTTTATGCAAGATAATGTATCTAAATATGGGACCTTTTGGACTTCTGTAGTTTTCTTTGATTAGAATGCCCCATTCCCTAATTGTTTTCATTTTATTCTGATTTAAATGCCTGTTTGGGACTCTTTGGCCTCCTATGTATACCTCTGTCAGAGCACTTAGTTGCATTTGAAGATTGAGCATTTTAAGGAAAGAACGAGAACATGCAGTAAGTACCACCACCACTGGTTGCGGTTGAGTCAGTTCTGAATGATGGCAATGCCAAGTGTGTCAGAGTGGGATTGTGCTCAGTAGGATTTTCAATGGCTGATTTTTTTCGGAAGTAGATCACCAGACCCTTTGTCCAGAGTGCCTCTGGGTAGATTTGAACTTCCAGCATTTTGGGTAGCAGCCAACTGTGTTAACTGTTTTGCACCACCCAGGGACCTTAGGTATCTAAAGAGTGCCATCACATTAAGTGCCACTCACAAGATACTAGGCATTCATACAGGTTTTTTATTTTCTTGAATTTTTTAACCTTCCTCTTGGCCTTGAGTCTTTGATAGAAACCACTGAAATCGATTAGTTAAGAGAAGGGAGCTGAGTAAGAGCTGACGTAGGAACACTCTTCTTGGCAGTTTAGAAATGTGCTGAGTCTGAAAAAGGAAAAAAGTAAATTGACTTGTGAATAAATGTTAGTAAAAGTTAATCATATGACTAGCAAGCATTGCCCAGAAACTGTCAAGAACATTTGAAACAGCCATTTATCTTTTAGACAAACTTGTGATTCTTTTTTTCCTGTGCTAAGGATGTATTTTTTTTTAAAATAGTCTTAAGTTTTGGGATCTTGGCTTCGTTACTTATTTGTTATACTTTGCTACTTTGATTGGCACAGTTTATTCCCTTTAGAGGACTATCTTAAGCTTATCTTAAGATAGTAAATATGTCATGAATTTCTTGAACATAGAGACCTAGTACAATCTTTTATTTTACTGGCTAGGGAACTTGGGCTTAGAGGTCTGTCAGGTGACTTGCCTCAGGGTCACGTTGGGGACAATTTAGGATGTATTTTAACTCAGCGCTCAATGTAATTCATGACTGCACACTCCTTTTATCATGAAATTCCTACAGAAATAACCAATTATATATTCCTTATGTTAATGAAGTTGAAAGATTCTAGTTTAAAAAAAGGATTTTGATTTTGTATTAGCAACAGCATTGATATTTTTAAACTGTTGGATAGGTTGGAACCTTTAAAAGAGTATCTAAAAGACTGTTATACTATTATCAAATACTAGAAGTTCTATTATAAGCTTTTTTTTTTTTTTTTTTCTCAATTCAAGTTATCTTTAAAACCATTCTCACCCTCCCTTAACTCCTTAGGCTTTCCTCTCTCCTGCATCCCCTTCACATAAGACCAGGCGCAACCCAAGAACGCTTACGTTATGTTTACTAAGCACAGTAATTGTCTTTGGAAAATATATCTTCTGTTTTATTCTTATGATGATCTATGGCATTATAGTTACATTTCCGGATCTGTCTTCATTGCCTTCATGATTCGAAGTCATGGTTTGGAAGTGATTTTTTTTCCATCTTCCATATCAGTTTTTCCGTCATCAGAAACTGGTGCCCCTGTCGGATGACTCGTCTGTTTCTGGAGTTGATATGTATTGTTAGTAGCTAGTGCTCCAAAATACCTGCTAGGTGAAATGATACTTATTTCAGGAATATTTAAGTGTGCTCTTTTATAATATAGTCATCCTTTTTAAAAAAATAAGTTTGGGGTATTTACTACTGCATTTCTCTAAAATAAATTTAAAAGTTCCTAAGGTAAATATTTGCATATGGCAACAAAATCATCCGCCTTTTTCTTCTTTTCTTTTATAGGTAGCCAGCATCGAAATGTTCAACCTTTTAGTGACGAGGATGCGTCGATTGAAACAATGAGCCATTGCAGTGGTTACAGTGATCCCTCCAGTTTTGCTGAAGATGGTATGATTTCTAAATTATTTGTAATTTTAGATAAAAGGATATTTTAGTTGAAGGAGTTCTCGTGACTGAGGTGTACTGTTACATGTTCCCATCTATTTAAATTGTAGTGCTTGGTTTATATTATTCCTTAGGACCAGAAGTCCTTGATGAGGAAGGAACCCAAGAAGACTTAGAATACAAGTTGAAGGGACTCATTGACCTGACGCTGGATAAGAGGTAGGAAGTACTGGGAACTCTTTATTCTGGATGATTCTAATCAGCCATCTTACGTATTTAGTACGTGCAGTCCTCTGATGTAACAGTATGTTCTCCCTTAAAGCATGATTTGTTTACTTTGAAGTTTTATTGTTTCCTTTTTGTTTGGACTTTTGATGTGAGTCAGGAGAGTGCCACCAAAATATAGATTGACTCAAATTAGTCATTGTTCTAGCACAGTAGCACATCCATAACTGTATTTGATAATAATTGAAGTGGATTCGTTAAAATAAAAGTTAATCTTCAACCAGAAAGGACAGCTAAACTTTGCTTTAAACCTCCTAACCACTAATTTTGTTACAGATATGAAAAATGTCAAAGCTAAATTGTTTTCTAACTTGACAGTAGCTCTAGAATTGACTTAAAACAAATGGAATTAAGAAGCTCAGAATATGCAAACATGACTTTTAGTCTTTTGTAGTATTGAAAAATGTTTTACTTAAATATGTAATGTTGGGAAACATGTTCTATACATTGAAACTGTAGCATATTTATGTTGTTATTTCAAGTTAAGGCTTTTAAACTAATAAACAGACAAATGCTATGCTGTTAGTCTGCTTCAGATCTTTTGTGTAATAAGGTGAGTTGTAGATGAAAATTAAATTACAGAAAAATTCTTAGAGCTTGATGACAATTAGATAAGAAATCTGTACATAGAAAAATTTACAAGGAACTACTAAGCTAACTTTTTAAAAAGTCTTTGATGGTATGCTCCAATTGGATCTTCTTTTGTGTTTTATTAAACAGTGCAAAGACAAGGCAGGCAGCTCTTGAAGGTATTAAGAATGCGATGTCTTCAAAAATGCTTTATGAATTTATTTTGGAAAGAAGAATGACTTTAACTGACAGCATTGAACGCTGCCTGAAAAAAGGTATTCCGCTTATTTTTGAGTCGTAGGCACAGAACTTACAAGGAATTTGCTACTTTCCTTGCAGTAACATTTGTTAATGGCCCTAGAGCATTGGCCCATTCCTTATAACACTTTGTATAGTTAAGGAATACACTGTAGTTGGTATAACTCAAAATCAGACTTGATAGAAGCTTTGTTTTTATTTATGCAATAAACAGCTTGAAAGTAGGAAGGACTGGGGTGAATTGCCATCTTTTGTCATATCAGAAGAGATGATTGTCATCATCTTAGAAAGGCTTGAAAGTGTACAACAAGTGTAAACAAAAAGTGTTAATTTAAAAAAAAATCCTACTTCATTTTTATAAAATTAGAGTATTACAGTATCCCACATTCTCTTGTTCTTATTTAAAACGTTGATGATACTTGTGGATTGACATGTAATTTACAGTATCTTTCTTGGTATATTTGCATTTCTAGAACTTTATAATAGACATTGTAGAATTCATACTGTTGTAATCATAGAACTTTTAAGAATGAGAGACTTGAAAGATTCAGTGTTACCAGACTTTAGGAACCACCAAAATTAAAAAGATTTGGGGCTGCCAGTTTATTTTGCCAAGTAAGGGCATTATGGAAATAATTATCATCTACCATTGCTATTGTTTTATTTAAAAAAAATTCCTGGCACCAAAAATGTAGGAAGCATACATGCTCCTTTATACTGAATGAACTCAGCTTTTATGTCCTTATTTTTCTCATTTTGCCTCAGGTGAAAGCTTTGTCATGATCTAAACTCTTGATCTAATCCACCCGTCATTGTGCAGAATAAAGAAAGGCCTAGGAAAAGTGAGAAGACTGGTTTATGGTTGCATAACTTGTTAGTTGTGTAGTTGATAGCAGAGCCAACTTTTTTTTTTTTTTTAATAATACTTTAGATGTAGGTTTACATGACAAATAGTTTTGCATTAAACAGTTAGTACACATATTGTTATGACAATGGTTAACAAAGAGCCAGCTTTTTAAAGATACTACAATGGCTTTGTTAAAGGCATTTTACATTGAAAATGTCTCTTAAATTGGGTAGTTAGACTAGATGACCTTTAAAAATTCCCGTTCAGTCTTCATATTTTATAATTCTGTAATGTGTCAAGTAAGATTTAAGTTTAATATTTGCCTAAACTCTTTGGTATAAACAGTTCTGAAAAGAGTTAATTTACATTTACCTTTATAGAGATGCATTTTATAGTGTCTTAAGGAATGAGCTGTGTACACCTGAAATGCTTGGGAGATTAATTCATGGGCTACTTGAGCACTGAATATTCATAATAGTACATTAGGAATTGGAGGGTAGAAATTGGCTTAAAACATTATTTTGTTGAACTATTATGGTAGTACCTTAAGGTAGGCATTAATCTCTGTTTTATAGATAAAGGAACTCGTTTAGAGAACAAGAGTAACAAGTTGATGGTCATTTGACTAATATGGGTGGATCCAGGATTTGAGTGAGTTCTGTTTCAAAGTGTCAACTCCTAACTTCACTGAACTCATAACTTATGTCAAAGATTTAAAAATCTTAGATCTTATACTTACATTTCAAACTAGCAGCTATCATTTGTGAAGTGGAACACATTTGGGGAACTGCTGTTATGTAAGCTCTGTTTAAGTTAGTCCCCTGCACGTGGTTTGTCAGAGTTGTGTCTTGATCTCCCTTCTCTCTTCTAGGTAAGAGTGACGAGCAGTGTGCAGCTGCAGCATTAGCGTGTGTCCTTTGTATTCAGTTGGGCCCTGGAATTGAAAGTGAAGAGATTTTAAAAACTCTTGGACCGATCCTGAAGAAAATAATTTGTGATGGAACGACAAGTATCCAGGCTAGGCAAACTGTAAGTATAAGATTTAAGATTTTTAGATTTATAGATCTAGCTGCGCATGACACCCAGACATTCTGATGAAAGAATCTAGGAAAATAGCATTTTTAAAATAGTAGGTTTTGTTAATATTTTATTCTCATTTGTCTTTTAGTTTTAGTGAGCAGACGTAATAAGCCAGCTGCTTTCTTGTATTTTCTGAGACTCCATAGAGCATCTCCTGTAGAGTAAATTTCTTTATTTTTGAAGTTGAAGATAATATACTGATATTAAATACTATACTGAGTTATTTAGGATGATTGTAGAATAATTTTGGACTGGAACTTGAAGAAACAGTCTGGATACTTAAATGTTTCTTGGGTGGTTATTTTTTATTCTAAGAAATACAATAGGAAAATAGAAAATTGATTAAAATGGGAACTCTTTTGATTAGTGACAGACTCTTTCTTTTTTTTTTTTTTTGCTACCTTGGCCTCACAGTCTTGTCAGAAAGTGTAATGCTGTATTTACATAAGTGGATTTGGATGGATGTAGAAAACGCTGAAATTGATTTGTGAAACATTCATCTAGCATCTAGTTTTGGCGTTTGAGGAAGGTTTAATCTCTGATATTTACTACTCTTAACATTTGACTTTAGATTGTGGTTTTAAAATATTTTTGTTTTGTTTTTGGTGAGCTAATAAAAAGTGATTTAAATGATCACATGAATATACTTTGCTGTATCACAGAAACATGAAGTGTTCTTAGTGGATTATTTGTAATGTGATATGTGAGTGTTAAGCTATTTTCCTAACAAGTTGAATTAGTTCAATTCTGAAACTTTTTAAGACATTTAATACTGTTTGTTCAAATTAGCTTGTCTTTAGTATTATTTAAGGTAAGTGACATTGATCTTTGTGCCAGATAAACCCTGAAATCTTTGTGGCTTCATACAAGCCACTATCACTGCCCAGTGCAAGTTGACTGGGAGCCAGGCCCCCATTCTGTGTCTCTATTCCACCTCTAGGTCTCCCTCCAGCAGCTAGATGAGGAAAGTTTACCCAGCTGTGGAAGCTGGAAATGGCCTGGTTGTTTTCCCTGGTGAAGAAATAGGAATTAGTGAGTGACTTCATAGAAATCTCTGTGTGCTCCAGTAGTTAGTAGTCCTAAAATGTTTCATTAGCTTTTGTTCCCTCTTTTTAGTAGGTTCATGTAACTTTTAAATTGTGCAGGACTGTGGCTGTATTTTTGAGGTCTCAGACAGACAACACTTTGCAGGGTGGACGTTTGGAACAATCACTGAATTTTGTTTGCATGTCAGTGTGATTTTTTTTTTTTTTTTAAACCAGCTCTCACATTAGCAGAAGGAATCCATAGTAAATGTATGCCGTCTTAAATTTTAATGTCATTTCTGTTAAGAGTCGCCATCAAAAGGAAAAATGTGGCCTTGCTTCTGCTGCTCACTTTAGGAAAAGGAAATACTGATTGAAATTTTTCTTTCCTGAGAGTAATGCTGAGGCTACCTTTAAATTTTAACAACATCCAATTCTTTCAGAATGGATGAAATAGTGACACCAAGCAGATTACTATCACAAGCATCCATAGTCCTGCAATAGAACTAGCTAAAACGTGGGCATGTGAAATGTGACTTTAAAGATTTAAAACTTTGGTGATACTTCCAACAACTTAAGGGAATTTTAGTGACAACATATGGAGAAAAGGAAAATGGAGAATAGTCAAATCTCACACATTACCAATTCTGACTAATTAGGAAGGGTACATATAGTTGGTGCTAACTTGTTACTCCTGATAAAGTTTCTGCTTTTTAAAGTGATGTTCTGTGAATTGATGGCTCCTGTTTATGTTACAAGTAGATCATTTATGTAAGTATTGTGTTCTGAGTCTGTTCTGTTAGGTAAGCATTATCTTGTAGTCTTACAGTGTACTCACATGCGTAGCCCCCTTTTTCCTAACAAAGAACAATTATAGAATTCCCACAACCTTTTTTTATCATATTCCAAAATAAGTGAAATCTGACTAATGAGATCCTTTTTTAGGAGGGAGGTTTGAGGACAAGTATTTAAATTTTTTGAGATTTCTGCTCCTGTGTGGTCTTGGAAGCTTATTTTACATTGGAGTCTACAGAAAAACAAAAATGATTATAGATGATTTTAAGAGCTTAGAAATTTAATAGCAAATTTAATGTATTTCAAAAGTTTTTAATAGAGTAGTCTTCTTTATCTCAAATGTCCAAACTTCGTCTGTGCTTTTGAGGTGGAGCTGAAGCTTGAAATGATCTGTTAGGCATCTGTAGTACATAGGAAAATGAAGCAATTTGGAAGATAGCTAATTTGACCCTTTAAAAATGTTTTGTTCCCATAGAGTAAGTAAAATAATCCGGCAGTCTAAATCACAGAATAAGGAGCTGGAATGGATTTAGAAATTATATAATTCATTTGCACACACGGCCTCCGTTCCAATTTTATGATAAAGGAAGTCCCAAGGGAAATAGAGTAACTTGCCTATAGTCATACTCTGAGTTTGATAGAGGAGCAGAGCCTGGGCTGAAACCCCCTTCTCTTGACTCTTTGGCCCGATATTCATTTTCGCCCTTCCTCTCTTTTCGTACTATGCTTGGGACCTACTATAATCATACAGCTGAGAAAATTTTACATTGAATTACAGAAGTAGGAAGATGTAGAGTTAAGGAATAATATTATAAACTATATTTTCTTTCTTTTTTTCAGTGTGCAACTTGCTTTGGTGTTTGCTGTTTTATTGCCACAGATGACATTACTGTAAGTATAAAACCTTTGACTTCAGTTATTTGCACATATCTAATTTAAGATGGTTATCTTACTTGATATTCTTATGCATTAGGAGCTGTATTCAACTCTAGAGTGCTTGGAAAATATCTTCACCAAGTCATATCTCAAAGAGAAAGACCCTAATGGTATTTGCAGCACCCCTACTACAGTCCTTCATATCAGCTCGCTTCTCGCATGGACGTTATTACTGACCATATGCCCAATCAATGAAGTGAAGAAAAAGCTTGAGATGTATGTATTTTTAGTTTCATATTTTATGAAAATAACATTTAGTGACATAACTAGTTAGTTCACATAGTAATAACTAACTATTTTCTAGGCATTTACATAAGCTTCCAAGCCTACTCTCTTGTGATGATGTAAACATGAGAATTGCTGCTGGCATATCTTTGGCACTTCTGTTTGAGTTGGCCAGAGGAATGGATAACGTAAGTATCTAACTGGCAGAGGAAAAAGTTTATGTGGCAAGGACCATTTCTATCATTACCTTCACAGTTAAGAATTGGATGGTAACTTTGGAGTGTGGCCAGCTTGAGAACCTTCTTGGCAATGGTAATATAATACTTTGGAGAGTATAGCCAATCACGATTTGTAGAGCAATATTTGAATGTAGTTCATTATTCTTAATTTTTGCCATCTATAGAACTAAAGTTCAGGAATGTTCTTGTACTCATGGAAAGAGTTGTGTATAGTGTATTCTGTGTGAGGATGCTTGGATTTTGCAGACACAGGACACGGTAAGGTAATTCATGAATAGATGCTTAGTGTCCTAGGGCTGGCATGACAAAGTATCACAAAGTGGGTGTTTTTAAAGAACTGAAATCTAGTTCTCACAGTTCTGGAGGCTTAAAATCCAAATCAGGGCCTGGGCTGTGTCAGTTCCTTCATGAGGCTGGTGACTGCCAGCAGTCCTTTGCTGCTGACAGTTCTTTACTGCTTATAGATACATCTGCCTTTGTCGTCACATGGGGTCTTCCTCTGTGCTCTGTCTCTGTCTCTACTCCCCTTTATAAAATGCTACTCAGAAGGGATTAGGTTTAGGCTACAGTGTACTCTGGTATGACTTCATTGTTGTTGTTAAGCACCTCAAGTCAGTTCCAACTCAAAGTGACCCCATGTCTCAGAGTAGAACTGCCCCATAGGGGTTTTCTTGGCCATATCCTTTAAGTAAGCAGATTGCCAGGTCTTTCTCCCTTGGAGCTGCTGGGTGGGTTCGAACCATCAACCTTTTGTTAACAGCCCAGTACTTAATCGTTGTGCTTATTAACATAAGAAAAGCCCTATTTCCAAACAGGATCACATTTACTGGTATATGGATTAGGACTTAGACATACTTGGGTAGAATGCGATTCAGTTTATAATACATACTTTATAATGAATATCAGACCTGGGGAGAAAAAAGAGAAAAAAAAAAAACCATTGCCATTGAGTCGAGTCCGACTCATGGCAACCCTATAGGACAGAGTAGAACTGTCCCACAGAGTTTGTAAGGAGTGCCTGGTGAATTCGAACTGCCAACATTTTGGTTAGCAGCCATAGCTCTTTACCACTAAGTGAGCATATATTTGGGATCAGGTGAGTCCAGTCACTGTTGTTTAACTTCTTTAAGCCAGAAGTAGAGACAAACATGGCCCTTTAGACTGGGGCATGTACTTTGCAGTTCCCCACCACCCTTTTCACTCCCTCATGTTAGTTACTGTCTGCATTGGCTTGGCTCTTGAAGGTATTTGTGTTGGTGATAGGGTGATCATCCATCCTGGCTTGCCTGGTGCTGTTCCACTGTTAGCACTGAAAGTCCTACGTCCCAGGAATCTCCTCTTCCCAGGCAAACTGGGACAGTTGATCACTTTAGTTTGCAACCTCTACTCTAAGGATTAGAGAGCCCTGGTGGTACTGTGGTTAAGCACTTGGCTGCTAACTGAAAGGTCAGTGGTTTGAACCCACCAACCGCTCCGTGGGAGAAAGACGCGGCAGCCTGCTTCGGTAAAGATTACAGCCTTGGAAACCCTGTGGGGCAGTTCTGCTCTGTCCTATAGGATCACTATAAGTCAGAATCAACTTGATGGCAATGGTTTTTCTTTTTTTTAATTCTAAGAATTGCCTAAGGAAATGCCTCAGATATTAGAGCTGGAAGTGCGGAATTGTGTTGTATGATGTGTGATTCAGATACTGTGCTGCTTTTTAAAATTAAAGAGCAGCTTTTTTTGCCTTCACGCTGAATCCATAGATACGTCATGATAACAAGAAAGATCCAATACGGAAACTCATATAAATGGGAAATATATTATTAACCTTGTATTATTTACTAGATGCTTTTTAATTTGAGACAGACTGTGTATTTTCAGAATGAAACTTTTTCTGCAGTTTAGGAAGTTATTTAACAGTTAATAATCCCGGTTAGGATTAATACAGTGTTCCTGGTTGCCTGCCGTGTTTAGTCTTCTCATTCCATTTTGTGTTTAGAAAATGTTTAGGCTCTTAAAATTTGTATCTGTCAAGTGTCTCTCCCCACCCCCTTACTCTCCCCCTTTTTTTTTTTTTAAAGAATAGCAGGTAGTAATAGAAAGTGAGTAAATGCCATCAGTAGTTAATGGTTCTCTTTATTATGTGAGAAATTGTACTCAAGTTTAGCTAGCAGTTTAATCTGTTTAGCTTGTTAATGGGTCCTTAACCTCAAGGCAAAGAAACCAGATGTCCCAATTTTTAATTTTGTGCTCTTTGCCCATAGAAATAGTAATTCATTTCTTTTTCTTTTGGAATACATCTTAAATTGAAGTAAGTGCAATTTAAATTACACTTGTCGAGTTTAAGTTGTGTAAACATAAACATATTGTTACCCACATATCTTTTGTTCCTGTGTGTGTATGTGTGGTGTGATGGGGCTTAGTTATAGGATGTTCAGAAAATTAATTTAAACCAGGGTTGATAAGTTCATGGGGAACTTTAAAGTAGGATTCTTGTAGCAAATGAGTGGCATTGAATATTATTCTGAACTTTTTGCTAGCGTAATTGCTTTGTGATATTAACCCAGGAATCTAGATGTGTAATGAATTTTGTTTGGGAGACTTAGAAGAAAAACTTCCAGAGAGCTGACTCTTGAGTTGGTTTTTAAAGATTGAGTTGGTGAAATATTAATAATACCTATTTGTTCTAAGTTGAAATTAAGACTTACTAGTACTTTATGAGCTCTCTCATTGCTTACTATGCATGTTTGTCATATAACTGAGTAGAATAACAGTGGGTGCTGGAGCCATACTGCAGAGACTCAGATCCTTCCCACCCTTACTAGTTGGATGACGTTGGTCAACTTCTTTGTGCCTCCTTGTGCAATGGAGAAAGTAATAATAACTTTTTCCTTTCATAGGGTTGTTGAGAACACATGCTAGGTACAATGTAAGTGTGGCTACTACTATACTATCATTGAGTTGAGTATTGCCTCCCCCCCCCACCAATAGTCTCAAAAAAAAAATTAACCCAAACCGGTTGCTGTCAAGTTGATTCCGACTCAACAGTGACCCTGTAGGTCAGGGTAAACTGCCCCATAGGGTTCCCAAGGAGCAACTAGTGGATTTGAACTGCCAACCTTTTGGTTACCAGCTGAGCTCTTAACTACTACGCCACCAGGGCTCCACCAATAGTCTAGTCATGGCCTTATAGGAACTCTAGGATAACTTAAAATAAGACAAAGGCTGTATGGGTGGCAGAATTACAGATCTTGGGTGGGGGAAGGCTGCATGATGTGCTGGTTCCAGTTTGACTTGGGAAAATACACCAAAATATAGTGTAGGCAGACTTTCCTTAGTTCTTCTTATTTCATCCCCATCTGACCTAACAGAGGGCAAGTGCTGCAGTAGAGAGAGAGAAAAGATAATCCAAAGACTAAACATCCTCTTTGGGATGAAATCTTAAGTGAATTGGAGTTGATACTTCCAGGAAGGGAAACTCAACATTCTTCTCCCTTCCTGCCTTTGTTTGTTTATAGGATAACTGATCCTATGTAAAAATGTCTCCATACCTTAACAAAGATATTCTGCCTCAGCTGGGAGTGAAAGGAATAAAAATCTTTGTGCTCAAGTAGAGCCATTCTAGAGGTAATGATAAAGAGATATCTAGAGATACAGCCATTCTAGAAATAATGTTCCATATTCTGCAGGGAATTGGGGAGGGATCAGAATCTGTTTTCCTGTTTACTACCGTTTGATTTTTATTTCATAGTACTTAAAATAGTTGGAAAAGTCCTGTTTGTATTGTTTTCTATAAAATCATTGCTTCTATATAGAAACATTAATTTTTGGAATAATTTTTTGTGAATTTACAGTCTGATTGTATTGGGCTACTATAATAAACTACCACAGACTGGGTAGCTTAAAACAACAAATTTATTACTCACAGTTCTGGAGGCTAGAAGTCTGAAGTCAGGGTGTTGGCAGGCCCATGATCTCTCTGTGAAGGCTCTAGGGAAACTATATTAAGTTCGTGCTAATATCACACATGTATTGCTGTGTGCCTGTGGGCCGAGATCTCTAGACAGCTTGAGGATTTGTGTTGCTTTCTGCAGCACTGCTGGGTTATTTGCCAAAGTGGACTGTTCTTTGTTGGCTGTAGAAGAGGCTGAAGAAATACAACAACCAAACAAAATTGTTTCTCTTGACCAGGACTTTTTTTATGAAGACATGGAGTCTTTGACTCAGATGCTTAGGGCATTGGCTACAGATGGAAATAAGCACCGGGCCAAAGTGGACAAAAGAAAGCAGCGGTCGGTCTTCAGAGATATTCTGAGAGCGGTGGAGGTAGGCCTCTTAAATGCTTTGATAAGTTACTCATTTTGAAATTAGATTGTTTCAGGCTAACCTTAACATTTGGATCCTTCTGTTGATGGAGCGTCACCTTTGATCAAAATACTTTTCTCACGGAGCAGAGTTTATTTTTTTATTGTACAAATGTATATAACAAAGCGTTTGCCATTTCAGTGTTGTTTACACGTGCAGTTCAGTGATGCTGTGTTCATCATGTTGTGCAGCCATCACTACTGTCTGTTTCCAGAGTTTTCTATCACCCTTGACAGAAACTCACTGAGCGGGTTATTAACAACATAAGTGAAAACTTATTTTTAAACGTGGGAAAATTTAATGCCGATGTATAGAGGTACATTTTTTTTAAGTTTGAAAAGATTTGAAAGATTCAGACTGATAAAATGTATTTCACCGTGGTGCGCTTGACATCACATAAGCAACGTTGCTTAGCACATACGTACTTAGTACAGTTTTTTTTTTTTTTTTGTCAATATAATAAATTACTGCCTACCCCTCTGTACAATTTGGCGTTTGTTAGTGTTCTACCCTGCTTCAATACACAGGGAAAGTGAATTGATTTAGAAACCTTGAGGGAATGCAGTGCATGGCTAAAATGAGCTTAGGATGATGGTAGTCTCACTGTGGAGAATATTAAACTTTTTTATAATATATATATGCTTTGTTTTTGCTAGCTTAAAAATACTTCTTGGATTTAAAGTGTAAATTTAAGTTATTACTATCTGATATGGCAGTTCTTATAAGAATAAATATATCGTTGAGTCTGTAGTGGTTTTCAACCTGAGGTATGTGTCAAAATTTAGAATGAGAATTAAAAAAGAAATTCTAAGGCCCCACCCCAGATCTACTTTAGAAATGTTCCAGTGATTCTCAGATGTATTCTACTTAAGAACTACTTTCTTCATTTTAATCTACTTGTTAAAAATAAAGTAGAGATACAAATTATTATAGAGAACCTCTGGGATCTAAATTTTCTGGTTATGCTGAGTCTAATTGCATTATAAGAATATTTTATATTTATTTACTCTGGGTTTTATAATCCTAAACACACACCCCCCGCCCGCCCCAACTAGAGTAGACATCAATATTAAGAATTGAATTTGCTTCTGTAATTAGTGTGGCAGTATCCCCAAATTAGACAAGCTATTTTCTCAAGTAACTAAGTTTTTCCTGTATTTGGATTTTGGGGTATTGTAGCCTCTAAAGATAAGATCACAACATGTCCTTAATTTTCTGGATTAGACCTGTTTCAGATTTTCAGTCTTGATACATCCCCTCTGGGTAATAGATTGTAAAGGACAATAGGACCTGAGAAACCTCGTGAGCCCCTCAGCCCAGGCCAGCTTCAGCACTCAGGACTGATTATTCTGACAAGCTCCATCACCTTCTTTCCGCCATCTCTGACTGCCACTACCCACTTTGTCATTACTCTTTCATCTTCATGATTCATCAAAGAATTCAGCAACCGGTTGTTATTTTTTTGTTTTCTTTTAATTATAGTACTTTATTGTTTTTTTGGTAGAAGTTTATGCAGCAAATTAGGTTCCCATTTAACAATTTCTATACATACTGTTCAGTAACATTGGTTAAATTTTTCACAATGTGTCAACATTCTCCTTATTTCCATTCTGGTTGTTCCATTTCCAATAATCTAGCTTCCCTGTCCTCCCTTACGTTCTCATCTTTGGTTTGGGGTAAATATTGACCTTTCGGTCTCATATAGATGATCTTTTAAAGGAGCACAGTGCTCATGGATGATATTGTTTGTTTTATGAACCAGTCTGTTATTTAGCTGAAAGGTGACCTCTGGATGTGGTTTCAGTATAAAGTTTAAAGGGTGGGTATCTCAGGGCGATAGTCTTGGGGGTTCTTTTGGTCTTTCCTGGTCCAATAAGTTTGGTCTTTTTTAAGAATTTGAGTTTTGTTCTGCATTTTTCTCCCGTTCTATCTGGGATCATCTATTGTGTCACTGGTCATAACGGTCAGTACTGGTAGCCAGGCACTATCTAGTTCTTCTGATCTCAGTATAGATGAGGCCGTGGTTTGGGTAGGCTATTAGTCTTGTAGACTAGTTTCTTCTTTGAGTCATTGGTTTCGAGCAGCCAGTTTTTGTCTTCATACCAAGTTCTACCTGCATTCTGGATGACTTCTCCATCATTTGAAAAACCATAGTTTCTATTTGTTGGGTGACGGTTACTTCGTTTCACTGGGGCCACACTTGCATGGTTATGGTTATTCCTTAGAAATGGATTCCGGCAGAATTGTTCCATCTTTGAAATCTTGAGTAACCTCTCATTTTCTTAATAAACCTGCTCTTAGACCTCTAGTTGCTGGGTCTGTCCTTTTTGTTTTGGTCTGTTCACTTCCTTTCCTAGATTCCTACTGCCCATCACTTCAACCACTGCCTTGTGCTGGTATCTTGTTTTTCTGACCTGTCCTGCAAACCTCCCCCATTTGATTCTTTTTCAAGTTTGTTGTGACTAAAATGAAATTAAAAAAAAAAAAAAAATCACAGCAATACGTTTGTCATTAGTATTTTTACAAACTCAGTTGTGCCTTCAGTTCACCACTACTAGACAAATTCCACACTCTGACATATAGGACAGTACCTTTAAGTCTAATCACATCTCGTGTATGGAGGTATCAATTTAAACCATACTGTTTATTTATCCTAACATTTACATGTATGTTTGGAAATTGTGTTTACAGGGGATCTTTTTAGGCCATTTTAGTGCCACTTGTAATTTTGGTTCTTCTTCCATTGGCTAGGAACGGGATTTTCCAACAGAAACTGTTAAATTTGGTCCAGAACGCATGTATATTGATTGCTGGGTCAAAAAACACACCTATGACATCTTTAAAGAGGTTCTTGGGTCGGGGATGCAGTACCACTTGCAGGTAAGTGGGTGACATCCTTTCTATGCATTAGCCTTTAAATGAGGGAGCAGGTTTGAGTATAATTAGCTTTTGAAATTATTTGAATATCCAGAATGCTTTCAGCTTAATACGAAAGAGTAAATTTGTTTTTGAAAATAAAATTGAATAAATATGAAACTTTTTTTTTTTTTTTTTTGGTAATGTATAGAGTGAAATAGCTTTAATTTAGACCTCAGCTATTGAAATCTATATGAAATCAAATAGTTTGGCATAGTTTTTTTGAATTCAAGGCATTGGAAAACAATTTGGTCTCACTGAGAAAAAACATAACTGACTTAAGTTTATACTTACAAGTTCCACAAAATTTTTATTAGTCAGATTCACTTTATGTAGTAAAAAAGAGTTATGATATTTAATACTGAACCTTACCATCTTTTTCTTTTTACATAAGTCAAATGAATTCCTTCGCAATGTATTTGAACTTGGTCCCCCCGTGATGCTCGATGCGGCAACTCTTAAAACGATGAAGATTTCTCGTTTTGAAAGGGTAGGTTTTTGTTTTGGTTTTAAAAGAACTAAACAGCAGTATGTAAGCTTTATTTGATATTAATGTAGATGAAAACCAATTAAATAATATTTGGTAAATTTATTGTCTTAAAATATGCATCATTTGTTACTGAATATTTGGTGAGTGAATATACTGGTCAAGAAATTATTTTCATGTATTCACTTGACAAATATTCATAACCAAAACAAAACAAACCTGTTAACGTTGAGTCAATTCCAACTCATAGCGGACCCTATAAGACAGAGTAGAACTGCTGTCCCAATGGATTCCAAGGCTGTAAATCTTTACGGAATTAGACTGCCACATCTTTCTCCCATGATATTTGTAACATATGTAACAAAATATAGGGTGACTTTGATGTTTCAGAAATCAGGGGATTTTTATGTAATTCTGTTTCACTAATAAAAATAAATAACAATAATGACTAAAAACAAAAAAAGCACTAAACATCTCAAAGAAAGGTATTTAGTGGTATCTGCCTATACGTGAAGTTTTAGTTTTTCATGGTTTTTCTCATACACAGAATAGCTGTACTGAAAGTGTAGAAGCTTTACTGCGTTTAGATTGTGAGGAGTTTTAATGAAATCTTTTTAGCCATAACCCTACTATCTTAATATAGAAATCATTTTCATTTTTTGTTTCCTTTTATTCTATGGGGTTTTTATATCTAAAAATAAATACACAGCGCTTCTTTTGTATCAGATACCGAGCCTGCTTATTAAGTACCAGACTCGTTTAATAAGTGAGGAAACTTGAAGTGCTCAGAGTTTTTAACTTTAAATAGTAATTAACAGATTTCCATCTAACATTTTAAATACACTTAATTTTACACACACACACACACACAGTCCCCGACTTCTGTTCCAATGACTCCGTTGTAAGTTGATTCTGATGTAAGTTGAATGCCTCATTTTTTTAGTTTTCATTATTATTGCCTTTTATGATCAGTATCTTTATAAATCCAATCTTGGTCTTTGGGAGTTGGAAATATTATATGTAAACTTACAGACATATTTTAACATTGTATGTATGGTGAGATTACTTCACATACTTTGGACATGTTATGAGGAGGGATCAATTGCTGGAGAAGGATATCATGTTTGGTACAGTAGAAGGTCAGCAAAATAGAAGAAGACCCTCAACGAGATGGATTGACACAGTGGCTGCAGCAGTGGGCTCAAGCATAACAACGATTGTGAGGATGGCACAGTACCGGGCAGTGTTTCGATCTATTGTACAGAGGGTTGCTATGAGTCGGAACCAACTCGGTGGCACCTAACAACAGCAATGTAGTATATACTACTAACAATGAGATGTACAAAGAAAAAACAGTTGTATATGTGGTTTATTGTAACTCGAATACCTCGTAAGTCGGGGACTATGTATATTTTATTGAAGTAAAATTCATATAAAATTAGCCATTTTAAAGTGTAATTTGGTGGCATTTAGTGCATTCACAGTGTTGTGCCACCATCACCTCTATCTAGTTTGAAAACATTTTCATCAACTCAAAAGGAAACCTCATACCCATTAAGCAGTCACTCTCGTTTTCCCTTCCACCCATCCCCGGCAACCACTAATTGCTTTGTTTTTCAGTTTACCCATTCTGGATATTTCATATAACTGGAATCATACAACATGTGTGTGTGTTTTTTCCACTTACAATGTTTTTGAAGTTTATCCATGTCACGGCATGTATCAGAACTTCATTTAATTTTATGGCTGAATAATATTCCATTGTATAGGTACATACCACATTTTATTTATCCACATGCATCAGTTGATGGATACTTGGGATGTTTCTACCTTTTGGCTAGTAGGAATAGTGCTGCAGTGAACATTGATTGATGCACAAGTTATCTGTTAGAGTCTCTGTTTTCAAGTCTTGAGTATATACCTAGGAGTGAAATTGCTCGATCATATGGTAAGTCTATGTTTAACTTTTGAGGAACCTCCAAACTATTTTCCACAGAGGCCTAACCATTTTACATTCGCACCAGCAATGTACGAGGATGCCAATTTTTCCATAATTCTCGCAGATACTAATTTTCCTTTTGTTTTTAAAATTATAGCTGTCCAGTGGGTACAAAGTGCTTAATAATATTCTTATAAAACTTTTATATTTATGGTAACATAATTGATTCTTGGGTATTTTTAAACTTTCCCAAAAAATTAACATTTGTACATTTTTCTTTAGAATTATTTCTTACAAGAAATACCCTGCATGGGAATACTGGGCTGGAATGTGACTTTTTGATATGTATTGCCAAATTACCTTCCAAAGTTATTCTGTCATTTCTAATGTCTCCAGAACTCAATGAAGGCACATAGCTATTACACAGATTTGACAGGATTAGACTTCATAATTTAAATAATTGTTAGTTTAACAGGTACAAAAATGGTACCTCATCATTTTTTTTTCTTGTTATTTTAACTGATAGCAGGGTTGAGGGTTGGACATTTTTTTCACATTAGTTTGTAATTTGTCTTTTCTGTCATCATACTAAATGTTGATACCCTTTGTTCGCTTTTTAGTTGGAATTTTTATGTTTTACATATTTGATTAATACTTTTTTCAACATGGAATAATTATTAAGTCTTTATTATATGTGTTAATTTCCCCCCCCCCCATTTTGTGTGTGTGTGTGCTTTCTAAACATTTTTTATAGGATCAAGTTAGTTTATTTCTTGCCTTTGTGTTTTTTTTCATTTTATAAGAATTTCTAATTCATTTACTGACCACACATGCTTTCCTTTTCTTCATTTCAGCATTTATATAACTCTGCAGCCTTCAAAGCCCGAACAAAAGCTCGGAGCAAATGTCGAGATAAGAGAGCAGATGTTGGAGAATTCTTCTAGATTTTCAGTATTTGAAGACTACTTTCTGATTTTTTTTTTTTTTTCCTTAATTTCTAATGTATTTAAACTGTAGAAACAGTTTTTATCCTGGGGGTCAACACAGATAACTTTTGTAGCAGGGGTTATATATTACTTGTAATTTAATGTACAGTATTACAAATGGTGAGGTCTGATTATTGAATATTCTCTGTAAATAGAATCAGTAAATATGAATAAAGTGTAATGTTTAGTCATATTCTACTTGTGAAGAGAGAAAAAAATCGGGTGTTTCACTTGATTTATGATGAGAAAAACTATTACACAAGGTTAAATTTCTTATACTGTGGTTATCAGAAATATTGATTATAATGATAAATACAAGGTATAAAATATGATCTTAGACAATTCTGGATACAATTTTCCTGTGGAAAAGCTGCTTATATTTTAAATTTTAAATGAAACGTAGCTATTTTAATTTTGTCACTAGGATGGACGAAAGGAATTATACCATGACATCTTGTAACTACATTTGCGGACCTTTTGATCTGGCTATTGGGAGTTCATGATGAATTAGCATATGCAAGAAAGGTTGCTACCCTTAACCTCAGAGTGGTAACACTAATTTTATCTGCTGTGTAAGACTTTGTGCTTTTTACTTTGAAATAAAGATCTTTTCACACTTACAGAACTTCTTTAATAGAAACATTGATTTTAGGTACAGAATACAAAATGATGTGGCCTGGTAGGGAGGGGAGTAGACAAAGTTTTGTTTATAGGAAACATTAAATAGATGAAAAAATGTAGCAATATATAACTAGTATTCAAGTTGTGGACACTTAAGGATATTGATGCTTGGTTGCCCCCGTGAGGAAATTTTTCATTTTAAGGAAAATTGTAAGCATTTTGACAGTGCATTAAGGTTTGTTATTATTAAAACAAAAAACATTAAAATTGTATATAGCACAAGCAACACCTGCAGTCTCGAATTTATGGACTTGTTTCTTTGATACTCTTAGCACAGAGAGTAGTGATGTGATGGCCGGGAAAGCCTGTACGCTGTAGAGAGAAATACCCAAGTCACCTAAGGTACTTTTTCCAAGCTAGTGTTCTTCCTTTCCCACATTCCAACTCCTAGAAGGAAGGTCTGATGTGCCCTCTAGTTGACTGAAAGTCATTAGCTGGCTCAGAGTCACTGTTGCTGATGGGAGTGTGAGTTCTATCCCTCAAATATAGTGGAATGGAAAGCAGATGTGGAATCTATACCTTGAGTTTGTATGTTCCCATGTCTTTTATATTCCAAATAGAACCATGGAGAAATAGCAATAAGTGTTTTACTAAATTTTTAATACGTGTATACATACTTTAAAATAAAAATGAGTTTTTATTAAAGTGTTACATACATAGCTTAATTGTACTTTAAGCTTACAAAAAAAAAGTTGTATGGCCATCCTCGTTTCCATCCCAGGAGGCATTCAGCCTTCAGGGTTTTTTAGCATCTTGGTTTCAGGTTTCTAAATATTATTATTATGCTTGAGCCCATTGTTGCAGCCACTGTGTCAGTCCATCTTGTTGAGGGTCTTCCTGTTTTTCGCTGACCCTCTACCAAGCATGATGTCCTTCTTCAGGGACTAGTCCCTCCTGAGAACATATCCAAAGTACGTGAGATGAAGTCTCGCCATCCTTGTTTCTAAGGAGCATTCTGGCTTCTTGTGGCAGTCCATAGTATATTCAGTATTCTTCACCAACACCATAGTTCAAAGACATCAATTCTTGTTTGGTCTTCCCTATTCATTGTCCAGTTTTTGTGTGCGTATGAGGCAATTGAAAATACCATGCCTTTGGCCAGGTGCACCTTAGTCCTCAAAATGACATCTTTGCTTTTCAACACGTCAGAGAGTTCTTTTGCAGTAGATTTGCCCAATGCAATGCATCGTTTGATTTCTTAACTGCTGCTTCCATGAGCACTGATAATGGATTCAACTAAAATGAAGTCCTTGACAACTTCAGTCTACTCTGTTTATCACGATGATACTTATTGTTCCAGTTGTGAGGAATTTTGTTTTCTTTATGTTGAGATGTAATCCATATTGAAGGCTGTAGTCTTTGATGTTCATCTTCAAGTCCTCTTCGCTTTCAGCAAGCAAGGTTGTGTCTATCTGCATATCGCAGGTTATTAATGAATTTTCCTCCAATCTTGATGCCACGGTCTTCAGATAGTCCAGTTTCTCGGGTTATTCAGCATACAGATTGATTAAGTATGGTGAAAGGATATAACCTTGATGCACACCTTTCCTGATTTTGAACCTCACGATATACCCTTGTTCTGTTTGAATGACTGCCTCTTGGCCTACGTGTAGGTTCCTCATGAGCGCAATTAAGTGTTCTGAAATTCCTATTCTTCTCAATGTTACCATGATTTATGATCCACACAGTCGAATGCCTTTGCATAGTCAACAAGATGCAGGTAAACATCTTTCTGGTATTCTCTGCTTTTAGCCAAGATCCATTTGATATCAGCAATGATATCCCTTGTTACACATCCTCCTCTCAATCTGGCTTGAACTTGGGACAGTTCACTGTCAACTTTCTAGGCTGAAAATCAAATTTGGGATTTTGAAAGCATTGCTTCATTGCCTTCTAATTAGCAAAGTATTGTTAAGATGTCTTGATACAAATTTATTTCTGATTTATTTTGTGTTTTCCCTTCTGGAAGCTCTTAGATTTTGCTTTATCTCTACTGTTCTAAAATTGCGTGCCACTAGAGTCTGACAAGTAGTAGGTGACTTAAGTGTTCGCAGGGTGAATAAAGCTAGTGCTAGGCTTAACTTTAAAAGCATCATTAATTTTCTTTTCTAGACTCTACCTTCTTGCTTCATTCAGAGTGGCTGCTTTGCTCTCAGTGCTTTAAGACTTAAGAGTATTTGAACTTGACATGAATCAGGCTTTCTTAGCCAAATTTTAAGTTTTTATGTTCTTTTATGTTCTCTCCCCAATTTTCTTTGTTTGGAGACTCTGAGATACTGGATTTTCTGGATTGAGCCTCTGGTTTAATTTTTTCTTATTTTTCTTTCTGGGAGATTTCCTTAACACAATTTCCAATCTTTCTGTTGTATTTTTGACTAAATCAGCTCCATGTTTCACTGTTGCCCCCAAGTCCTGAGCCAGCCTGAGTTCTGCAGGCTCAGCACGTTTGTCAGTGACAGTCCTCCGGAGCCCTGATACGCAGGTACCACTCTGGGTACAGTTGTTAGTAAACACATTTGCTGAAATCATTTTCATTGTTGTTTTCCCCTGTTTTAATTGTTAGCTTTTGTGATTTTTATTTCTACTCTTACTGGGGTTTTTTGGAGGGAGAGGAGATAAATATGCAACTCTAGAATCAGCATATTAAATTTATAAATGGCTTTTTCATGAAATTGGTGGGTAATTGCTAGACAAGGATTACTGAGGACTTTAATAAGAATGCTTGAGTTTTTTTTTTTTTTTTTTTAAGTAAAATGGTGTGCAATAGACCAGTTGTTTGTTCCTTGATTCTTTGTTAATCTTGCTGGTTAGGGAATTTAAAATGGTCCCTGCCTCGTAAGTTCTTTATCTTGAGTCTCTAGCATTAATTTTGAAGGAATCAGCATCTGTGGTGCAAGTCTTTGATGGCATTTACTGAATTTTCTTGGAGTTGAATCTAGATATGGTGAGATACAGTATTTGAAAGAAAAAGCAAGAAATACTTGAAAATACTGCTGGGTTGTAAGGTTACAGGAGAGAGAAGAATCCATAGTAAATGCTAAAAAGTGAGACTGTTCTGTTTTTCTTCAAAGCATAGATGTTATAAGACGAGATCAGATAGTTGGGAGATTTTTTAATGAAGCTGGCCAAGACAATAGCTGACATGAGTATTTTCATTTTATAATTTGACATAGCTTTTTAATGTGTGATGGGCTTCTGAGAAAACATTTACTAGTTACATTGTTTTTCTCTATGAATTGGTCCTTGGGTTTAGATGAGGTTTAAGAAAATGACATTCCTTTCTCCCAAAAGCAGAGTAGGGCTCATCCTGAATGTAAGTGTAAAGGAAATTTTACGGAACAGACATCTAACAGAAGTGAAAAATACGTCAAGGACAAAAATGTCCACTTTGTCATGGCAGTGGAAGGTGGGATTATAAAGGACTGCATATCAGTTTATAACCTAACCCTTATCATCCTGCTGGGACGGTTAGTCCCTGTGGTCTGCGATCCCAGGCTTGTGGGATCAAGGACGATGTCTTTATTGCAGCATCTTTTACGTACACCAGAGGGCAGAAGCTCCTTGTCATGTAGGCATGGGAACCACATAAGAGAAAGGCTGACATTCCTGAGAAAGGAGAATGCACAAAACCTCACAGAATAAAGCCTCTGGAAAGGAAGTTGATGAGACAAAGTACTTCCATCAGCTGGAGGAGGGCTGCAGCCATGATGTCCCCACTCACAAACAGTTTTGGAGGCCACTGGAAGCCCTAGGAGCCCTCTGCCATGCTGTCATCTAATTAGGATGTCACAGCCTTATTCCGTCTCTGTTTACTGCAGTTCTCTGCTTGGTCCACAGTCCTGTACACGTTAATTATTATAGTGGCAGCTCCAGCTTGCTTTTTGTTGTTAGGTGCCGTCAGAGTCAATTGGTGTCCAGCTGCTACGGGATGTTTATATAGGGGAGGCAGAAGTGCTGGAAATGAGGTGTCAGCTTACACAGTAGCTTCAGCCAAATAAGGACATTACTTCAGTCCAATAAGAACCTCATCAGTTACCAATTGAACCTGGGCATGGTGTTTTTTTTTTTGTTTTTGTTTTTTTTTAAAGCATAGTTTCAGTAATATATTCACTAAAAACCTAAGCTATTTTAAAAAGTCAGTATTTGGAATCTTATCCTTGGCTAAAATGAACACTAAATATAGACCAACAGTTTCATGCTGGGGTTTATGGGCCTTATAGGAACTCCAGTGTGCTGAAGGAAGGCGAAGAAAGAACTACAGAATTCGTAGAATGTTTTCTTGTAGTTGCTGCTGAACTTTTTTTTCCTTGTAACCTAGCGGTCAAAGCTTACATGTTTGTAAGTAAATTTGCATGCTATAACCCTATCGAGACTGAATTGTTCTTATTAAGGCGGGACAGTTTTTGTTGCATGTGCTCTGTGCTTTTAACTTTTAATCGAAATTATTTAGACTTGATGGTAAATTTTACTTCCAGAATGTGAAGAGGCACTGACTTCGAAATGGAATTAACGAATTACCATGATTCACTCAGCAAAGCTTCCTATTAGCTTTAAATTAAGCCCTGTTACAAAAATTGTTATTTTGTGGCAAGCAGTACTGGTGTGAGTTATATCTGTGATTTGATACCAAGCCCCTGTGGGACAAAATAAAGAGCAAAGCCATTTTTCATAGACAGCTACCTTTATTTGTCAGAATATTTATTTGTAGGAGTCAAAGAGTTCTTAAATGACCAAGAGAATCAGTTGTTAGCACTGATCTAAACAGGAGGAAAATGAAATTACATGTTTCAGTCAAGCTATTAGAAAAAGCTCTGTTAAAAGAGTCCTGCTTCAATCAGTCTTAGCTAATGAACAGATTGTCACAATGGAGTGGGAAGGAGGGTCGAGTAAGTGTGATGCAGAGTTGTTAATAACACTGACTTCTCCAGCCAGGCTAGCTGTTCCCAGATGTCCTCATATGGAGATGCCAAAGATAGCAACAACTAAGTGTCAAAACAGCTGTGGGTCCTGGGTTTAGGGCCATGTGATGATGTATCATTTACCACAGAGTCATTTGCAAGCTCTTGGTGGCCACGAACCACAACCAACTCAGTTTTCTTTGCTAGTTCTTTATTTTCCATTTGCAGGTTGCAGTTAATTAAAAAATACATTGTAGTAGTGTCTATTTACGTTGTGACTTCACTCCAAAGAAGAAATTGTCTTTCAGAGTCCTTCATGGCTTGCTCTAGGCTGTTGTCTTCGTTCTTTTGGATTTGATGGTGCATTGAGTTACCTTTTGAGTAAGTAGCAAGGCCAATAATTTGGAGATTTTATTAGCTTTGCTGCTCTTAAGTCAGTTTTTGTCGCTATGATTTTCTAGCTAGTCCTCTGCTTTGTAAACACTGATTAAGCCTCACTGTGAGATTTAAGCAATAGCAGTTATGTTGTTAAAGGGGAAGCAAAGGCTCAAGAACGTTAAGTCAGAGAGCCAAAAATGAACCATGGCGTCAGTCACCAAGACTAAAATAGAAGCCGTGTTTGGAAACATGCTCCTATGATGTGACACATACAACCTGCATTTGTGGTCAAATATTAGTATTTGGGATAATAAAGTATAAAGAGGTGATAAAATATAAAATACTTGGAGAAGAATAGCTTAGAAATCTGTGATGATGCTTTTGGGTTTTGGTTTTATCAGCAAAAGGGTAAGATTGGATTGATCACTAAGGCCCTTTTAATCTTCTGCCTACTGCTTTTTTTTTTTGTCACTTCAGTTGATTCCTTTAGAAGCTCGTGAGCTATGTTTCAAATTCAGTGGTATCAGTATCTAAAGTGCTACAGTAGAATCTTATGTAAAATACTCAGGGAATTGTGTGTTCTTGTAAATCAAATTTCAGGATAACTGAAACACCGTTTCTAGTCTTAACTCTGATTGAAAAAAATGTAGTTGGCCCATGACTTTTCAAACTCACTATTTGTTGTAGCTAGGAGGAGTGCATTTTTTACAAATAGTAGTAGGTTTTGGATATTATTGTGAAATGGCTAGTTTTAAATTTCAGATTGCAGTTTAAACTGTTCAGTAAGATGACTGATTTTTCCCACAGATTTTCTATAGGTGTACTAATTTGTTCCCTTGAATTTAGATTCTTCCAACTCTAATTATACTTCTCTTCCATCTGCAGCTGTGTATTAAAGCAATAAAAAATGACAACAGAAGGTAATTATTGTGTTGCCACCTATAGGTGCAAAGTTTATTGCACTGACTTTGCTAGATTCTAGATAGAGTTTGGCTGCTAAACAAAAAGTGAGAGTTCAAATCCACTGGCTGCTCCTTGGAAACCCTATGGGACAGTTTTACTCTGCCTCACAGGGTCGCCATGAGTCGGAACTGACTCAACGGCAATGGGGTTAACGGGTTTTTAGACAGACATAAGGTGGGTTTTTGCCTTCAATCTTATTTTTATTAGTGTACTGATTATTAACTGCCTCAAATTCTTTTAAAAATAGATTTAAATTCTAAATAAATAAAATATTTTAAGTGTTTTAACTTAGCATAAGTCCCTGGCTTCTAAATCAGTTACTGGGCGTTTGAAGAACAGTATTGGTTCCTGCTTCCAGGAGTTTTCAGTGTGGTGTTGTTGTTGTTAGGTGCCATCGAGTCAATTTCTGCTCATAGCGACCCCATGTGACAGAGTGGAACTTCCCCATAGGGTTTTCTTGGCTGTAATTTTTACTGGAGCAGATCACCAGTCTTTCTCCTGCAGAGCTGCTGAGTGGGTTTGAACTACCAACCTTTCAGTTAATAGCTGAGCCACCAGGGCTCCTTTTTCAGTGTATTGGGAAACTCACAGATGTAAGCAAATAAATGGAATCAAATATTATAGATGCTCTGATAGAAGAATGTACAGGATCCAGTGAGGGCGCCAAGGAGGCACACGTCAATTCTCTCTTCTTAGAGGAGGTGATGTTTGAGTTGAGTCTTGAACAGGATTAGGAAAGGGTGTGGAGAAGAAAGATAGCACAAGGGAAAATGCAAGGATCTCTGAACCAAGAGGCCCCGTTCCAGCTCTGGAACTATATGAGTGATAGTGAGGTGTATGATCTTGGGCATTTACCTTTCTGAGCCTCAATTTCCTCATTTGTGGGAACAGTGGGCATTGTCTCAAATTCTTTTTAGATCAAACATCCTACGTCACCATTAGATTCATTTTGTGAAATCTGAGAAAGAGATAAGAAAAGAGAAGATTTTATATTAATTGGAATTTGTTTTTCTAGAGCCTCCTTTCCACATAATTAAAAGGCCACAAGCTCTCTGTTGTTCTAGAAAAGCAAAAAAAAACCAAACTCGTTGCCATTGAGTCAGACTTATGGTGACCCTATAGGACAGAGTAGAACTGCCCCATAGGGTTTCCAAGGAGCAGCTGATGGATTTGAACTGCTGACTGTTTGGTTAGCAGCTGAGTTCTTAACCAATATACCACCAGGGCTCCACCTTTCTAATCTGTTCAGGCTTTTCAGTATGTCTTGGAGTTGTGGTGTCTTTAGAGAATACTACTGTAACCGCAAACCTCAATACTTAAATATTTATTACATAAGTGACCTCAATCTAAGGGAAACTCTGGTGGAGGAGACCTCGGGTCCTGGAACGTAGTCTCCAACCTGCTGCAGAATTCCTTTGGAGCATCAGTGCTTGCTAAGGTTATCTCGGAGACTCAGAGCCAGCATCTAACAGCTAAAGGAAGACATTTTAGGGTGGGGACTAATATACAATATTGAGGGAGAAAATAAAAATTACAGTTTTATTGAGGCCTCATGCAGTTAGAATGGTTCACAGTAACACTTTCTCGTAGAATATATGTGATCCCAGCCTGACTAGCTTAATTTTATCTTTCTATATATTTATACATAGTCTTGCACAAAAGACTTGAAGCATCTCACCAGAACATACACAATGTAATAAAATGAAAAATTATAAAATAAAAAATCAAGTCCTGGGAAAAATAGAGTTGAGAAATCTGAGGAAGAGGAAAGACCATCGACAGACAAGCAGGGAATAAAGAGCTGGTGCCAATGGTTAATACGTTTGAATGCTATTTGAAAGGTTGGAGGTTCAAGTCCACCCAAAAGCACCTCGGAAGAAAGGCCTGACAATCTACTTATGAAAAATCAGCCATTGAAACCCAGTTGAGCACAGTTCTACTCTGACACACATGGGGTTGCCATGAGTTGGAATCAACTCCACTGCAACTTGTACGGTTCTTGAAATTGGGCCACACATTTGACTCTTGAGCTTTCTAGCAAGCAAAGCAAAAAGAATAGTTACAAAGTTGTCCGGAAAGGGAAGAAATTTCTTCCGGTCTAGACCCTTAGCTTGCAAATAGTATTTGTGGGCAATTCTTTATATGCTTGTGCAGCTTCTTACCGCTGTGGCTCTTCTGGAGCTGAGCTCCCAGCCCAAGCCTCTGTGTTTAATGTGTTTTCTCCCAGGGACAATGAATCATTCTTCCCAAGACACTGGCTCTCGTGGCATTCATGAAGATGGAAAGCTTTATGTTGTGGATTCCATAAATGACTTAAACAAACTAAACCTCTGGCCTGCCGGATCGCAGCATCTGTTCCGTATGTGTGCCCTTGGAGACCAGGTGGCCCTTCTCAGTTTCTAGGCCACCTAAAAATAACAAATGCTAACGTGAATGCGTGGGTGTGGTGGGGTGGGTGGGCCTTGGGAAAGGCTTGGCACTGGAAATGCTGTTTATTATTAGGCAATTTTTTTTCCCACGCAAAAATTTATATGTACATTGTTACATCCCACAGTCCAGTCCAATCCCTGTCTGAAGAGTTGGCCTTGGAAATTGTTTTAGTTCTGGGCTGATAGAGAATCCAGGGGCCATGCTTTCCGAGGTTCCTCCAGTCTCAGTCAGACCATTAAGTCTGGTCTTTTTACT